GTAAACGTAGATAACGCACACGCTCTGGCGCAAATGTAACGTCATATGTAATTGGAGATACGACATACGCTTGTGCGCCAATCTACGTTTACGCTTACGTCTTTGTCGTAAACTATTACGTTGCTTTGCGCCCCGACCCTATGTATAGGCCTGTGTCCACGATGCTAAACCTTGGACCAAGTTCTAGCATCGACACAGGCCTTTAGAGGTGCTGCTAAAAAGCTTACGTCAATTAATGGAAATGTACTTTATGTCGATTCAAATAATTCTATGCAATAATGTCTATTAATTGTTTGAAAGTAATTTGTATTGTATTACAAAATTACGATGACAATTGATAAACTGGCATAAAGCGCATGAATGCGAGATGCTATCGCCCAAATAGGGTCAGCAAGCATGAAAAGAAGAAAAGGCAGGCGATGAAAATTGTCATTTAACGCCCAATTGGGCAGAATCGATTTCGCGCCGGTGTTTTACACAAATGTTTTCGCGCTTCCGTAGGGCTCCGGTCACGAGACAAGGTGTGACCGGCTCGTTCGGGACCCCTCAGGGTTGGGCCCCGAAAGAAATTATGCAAGCAAATGTTCAGGTAGCAAAACATTTTCACGGAATAGGCCAGGAGTAGGCCGTTAGTTGTTTTCTGTGTTTCCCCGCATTCCGCTCTTTGTCTTCCTCTCTCACCCTCGTCATCTCTCATCACCCTCTCTTCTTCCGCCCTAAATTTATCCCGTGTGTCGCACGTGAAGTGGAAACCAGCTAGAGCTACCTGTCGCGTCCTAAGCAAATATTTCACGGCAGCATTCAATCCAATTTGACACAATGGGGATACACGAAATCGAATTAAGGGTGCATTATGATGCCGCGACTCACTCGATCGATCGAGACGGTCCAAAAAAGAAAATTTCGCGAGACCGTCTGCCTATGTCGTAGAGATAATGATCGAAGAAATCGCATAATATATTGCAATAAATTAAATAAATAGAGCCACTCAAGAAATTCCCTTTTCGCTTTTTTCCCCTAAAGACAAACTCGCGGTCTTTTTAATCAATATACTTAAAATAATTTTTATATAATATTTACCACGCTACTATAATATATTTGAAAATCAAAGTGGCATCGATGCTAATTACATTCATTATCTGTCAATTCATCTTCTGCAATCAAATAAGTTTAAACTGCTCGTGTTTCTTTATTTTGCCATATCTTAAGATAACATTACTAACATCTTTTGTAAACATCTGAAACAAAGAAAATGATAGCCGACAAGGTTTTTACCTTAGGGATTTAAAAACCTAAATATTATAGCTGATTATCGTCGTGGCTGACAATGAAACCTTCATACCACATCTGTGAACAATAAACTTTGTATGTTTTCTTGATATAAAAAATGATTTTAAAGGAAAGTGCGAAATCTTCCAATTTCTTCTCAGTTCGTTCTGCCGGAAGTACAGGATCTTTCGTGCGTGTCAGTGCCCTTCCTCGCTCGCCCTTCTAATCCTCGCCGAAGCCTCTTCCGCTTTTAACCGGTGTTATGCCTAAACGCAAGGATGCGTGCGCGCGCGTTACGTTAAAATCCGTTATGCGCGTTACATGCACCAATATCATTTCGGTCTCGAACGAGCGCTCCGACGAGAGGCACGTCTTCGGCATTTTAAGCAGTGCTATTCGCAATCTGTCAGTTCAGCGATAGGTATGCAAAGACGATCCTATTATTGCTCCTTGTCCCTCCCCGCCTATGTCCTACGACAAACGGTAGCACAGCGAACCACCGTAGTACGCGTGACGAACGCGAATTTATACGCCTAGATCAGCGTTGCGCCGGCACCGGCGCGAAAAGTTGGCGGGCAGCGAAAGACAAGAGGCGCGAAAAGAGGGTAGGAAGGACGGACGACTGGTCCCTCGTTATATCTGGCCGACCAACCAGAATTAGCTGTACGATAATGTGCTAATGCGATACACAAGGATCTTATATAAATCTACGAGAATAACTTTACAGCGCCACTAATTAAAGTTTAATTAATCCATTCTAGTTTATTCGCACGCACATATATTTTCCCGATGTTGTTATAAAAATATATGTAACGTGTTCTTTTTTTTATTTGTAAGCAATCAATAGTACATTTCGGATGTCGGATGTTTTTGCTCGAGAAGTCCTAAGACGGAGCCGCGCGTACACTTGAATACTTGCGGCGGAGGAATGGAGAAAGGGGACGCGAGGCGAGTGAAATTCCGGAGGCCGTTCGCGGGTAACGTACACCCGCGTACACGCGGAATGCATAATTTCTTTCTCGGCGACAGAGCTTGCAGTTGCTGGCGGCGTGCCGTGGCGGCGATAAAAAAAAGAACGAATTGAAGACGCGCAATAAAAGCCGTCGAAGTGATGTCTCGCGGATCTCGCGGGAACCGATGGCGGTCGTTGGTGGACAACGAGGCTCGCGAAACGTCGCGATATTTTGAGCATAACGGCCACCATCCACCGACATACCAAGAGTTTCTCCGGCGCGTTAAGAGGGCCTCAGTTTTACCGTGTCGACCTAGAAATGCCACGGCCAACTGTTGCACTTTGTAGAAAATTATTTGGAGAACGCCTCGTAGGAATTCTTTCGAACCTCGAGATTCTTCGTGTGCCCGTTTGCAAAGTCGTGAAATGTTTTGACACAGTTCTTTCAACTATAATATTGATCTTTCCCTTTAGGTTTAAAAGGTGAAAAACTCACGGGTGTGTCGTGTTCGTGCCAATTTTTGCTTACGAATAATTTTCCCGATGTTGTCATAAAAATATAACAAGACAACACTCTACTATATTTTTAATCTGAAGTTAATTAAATAGCAATAAGAGTTGTGAAAACAGTTGAAATAGTCCCAGTATCTGTTCTTTACATGTTAGACCAATCGAATGGCGTATTACGGGTATATAATTATCGCTCTTTTAATTTTCCCATGTATTGCTGGAATCACACGTGAGGCGGGGAAGGCAAGCCTCGCGCGCGCATCTGTGCGTGTGTGTGCGCGCGCGCGCGCGTGTGTGTGTTTCCACTATTTTTTTTATCGCAGCGCTCAAAGCGCAGAACTCGCGTACGTCTCGTACGAGCGATAATTAGTCGCGGTTGCTCGCACGCGCGAGTAATAAAGAACGAGAAAACGAAGGAAGTTAGCGGCAACAATAACGCGAATGGCCACAGGTGCGAAGGCGCGCAAAGCCGGTCGGGTAGATGAAACAGTACTACGACACAGGAGGATCCCGTGGCACACGATCATCTAACTCACCCCTCCTGAGGGGTGGCTGGCACGTACTGCATAATGCTGCTACCTGTGGCTCTCATTTAAATGTACTAAACCTCGCTCACTCGCGCGTTCGTTCTCGGCTCCTCTCCTCCCCTCTTCCTCCCTCGTCTCAATACACTTACACGCTTCCGCTCGTTTCTTGTGTTCGGCCCGTTCTTATTGATGCCACCACCCCCTACCCTCCCCCTCACGGGTGAGAGCGGGGCAGCCTTTCTCCATAATTAATCATCCCGAATGAGTACCTGTTGCTGTTGCGTAATCGGCAATTGATCGATCTACCTTAGCTCGGATTCCTCTTGAAAATTTTATGCCCACAAATTTGGAGCACGTCGCGAATGGTAAGATAGTCTTCGGAAGATATTTGAGCGAAGTAGGGAAAAGCATACATGGATTCACGTGCCGTTTATATCCTGCTTTCTGGCCTGTTTTGTAAGCAAAGAACTTTGCAACGTCGAAAGTATTTTCGACGTAACTTTTGTTTTCCATGCTTTGTGGGATTTTCGCTAGAATCGTAAATTGGAGTTTCGCGGCGCGTCGGATTATCCCCCCATCCCCCGCCTCTTTTCGGCTTATCTTTTTTTTTTCCTCGCTTATTCGCTCGCGAGACGCGACGGCGACGACGAGGGGTGCGGAATATTGATAACGAAGGCGTAATCAGCGAACGAGCCGAAACCAACGGTTATCCGTGCACCTGTTGCACCGCGACCTATGCGAAAAGGAAATGAAACTGTCGACGGGCAGGATTGTACCGCGACGGTGCCTGAAAAATTGATCTTTCGTTTGCGTACGTGACGAGTGTGCCGTCGTTGTTCTCGTGGAGGAGTCGCGGGATGCGGAATGAACTCTCGTACTCAGACTCGCGTTGTTTGAGAGGCTCGCCGGAAACAATAAGAATCCTATGATTTGTGTCTCGCGGATTTTCTGCGCGCGCTTTAATTATTTTATATACTTTACGGTTACTGTGGAATTAATAATGCCCCCGTGCGTGATTCCCACACGCGATTCTCATCGTCCCGGATATTCCCACAAGATATACCTTATCCCGAAGATGGGGGACTATTCGTCGCGTCGCGACGTCTGCTCCGTGCCCCGTCTCGCACATACAATTATTCGCTATTAAATCAGTACCTGTTGCGCGCGCGCGCACGCGAGCTGTGAGAGATCGCGACAACGATCGCCGGCCGTGATCGTGAAAAATCTTTGAAGGCATCATCCGTCGTTTGAAAAACAGAGATGCTCGGTGAGGTGTACATGAACGTGGAGAGAGGCATAGAGGTGAGGTATTGAGTGCACCTGAGAGAAGAGCGAAGTCGCGGGGAGTCGTGTCACAGGGCGAACGTGGACGAGCGCCCGCTGGCCGCGTGTCGAATCGGCTCGGGTCGCGCCTCTCCTAATCGCAACGGCAGGATCAGATCGGAGCAGAACGGAGCAACGCGGTTGCGGCGCGGCGTGGCGCGGCGCGGCGCGATGTGGCGCGGCACGGTGTGGCGGTGGTGGCACGGCACGGTGTGGCAGCGTTGGCGCGGCGCGGCGGCAGCAACGTCGGCGCTGACGGTGTCGTGTCGGCGACGGTGGTGGCAGCGGTGGTGATGCTGCTGGTGGTGGTGGTAGTGGTGGCGGTGGTGGCGGTGACGGCGGCGGCGGCGGCGGCAGCGACGGCGGCGGCGGTGGCGGCGGCGGCGGCGGCGTCAGCGAACGAGCATTGTTAGCCAGGCGAGAACGTAGTCAAGTGACGGCAAGGGGGGGTCGAGAAGGACTGGCGCCTGGGGTGCCTCGCCTGCCTTCGTAGGCGCGGCCACAGTAGGTTCCGCCTGATGCTGACGTACGTCGACGGCCACCTTGCCAGCCCGTCCAATTGCGAGCTGCGCAGCCAACGGTGGTAGGGATGCGAACGGCGGTGACGCGCATGACGAGCTTCCACCACAAGCGGCTCCGGGGAGCCTCGGGAACCTCGAGCAAGCTGCGAGGCGAGGCAGTCAGTCGCTCTCAGCTACGACATGCATAACGCATGAGAGCCCGAGCGAGATCTTTCTAACCCGTCTCTCCTCCGTCGCCATACACACATACACATACACAACACACTCACATACACACACACATACTCTCTCTCGCTCTCTCTCTCTCTTTCTCTCTCTCTCTGTTTTTTCCTTGTACTCTCTCACCCACACGCTCTTTCACGCATACACGTATACCGTATGTATACGCACACGTACACTCACGTAAAGAGAGGGACATCTACCACCAGAAGGAACATACACGCACGACATCATATACCTATTCTACTCCCGCCGAGTCGAGTCTCTTCCGTTTCGCGATTACCGTCGTACGTCCCTTTACGCCGAGCCGGTCGGTCGGTCGCTCGCTGCTCGGTCGTCGGTCTACGGTGGCAACCCCTGAGTGCAGTCGCGTCGTGCATCGTTGTCGTCGGTACGCGTCCACCACGTCGAGGCTACAGACACGACGCCAGTGCGGAGTAATCCTCGCATCGCTGTGGACATCGCCGTCGCCGTCTTCACCGTCGTCGTCACCATCGTCGTCGTCGTCGTCGTCGTCGCCGAGACAAGATTAGTGATTACTCGACAAGTTGGAATCCCCACCAGGGATGTGTGACCTCGGCTGAATCGATATCCTCGTCGCGAGTGACTTCCCGACTCGACTCGAGGGTTGGCCAGTACATAGCCGGGAAGCGAGCTTTCGTTTCACGTGTAATTTTCGTGTGGGAACGAGTAACCGATAAGTAACCGACAGGGAGAGAGCGAGAGAAGGAACCAAATTTCGGAGCGCCACGACAGCGCGGTGCTCAGATCTGGAAACGCGCTTTTCCTCCGCGGGGACCCACCCCGTCGGAGTGAACGAGAGAGTGACGGTACATCGACAATCTCTTCTCGCCACGGACTCGTCGATGTTTCCGTATTGTTGCATACATGACACTCTTGAGAAATTATGGACGAAAGTTTGTCGAGAACGACGACCAGCCTCGTCTGGTCCCCGGTGTGTCGACGTGAATTGTGGATTGTGCAACGAGTGATTAGTGATTGCTGAGAGATTTGCTTTTCGAGGATCATCGGGATCGTGCGGTGACTGGACGAGTTGACAACAGCTCCATCTGAGGTCCTGCGACAAAATTTGACTCGATAATTTGGTCTCGTGGAATCTTCACCGAGTTGTAAAATCGGAATTTTCCATCTGTCAACGAAAATCAAGAGTTGACCGAGGAGCGTTCGCGAGAAAGTACCCGTGGACGCGTTCCACGGTGAAGAACCACACTGAGAGGGTTTGGCGAAGCCTCTCGACGAGGGAGAAGTAGATGGCAGCTACCACGTACATGCCGGTTAGTAGCGCAGTGTCTACCGACCTGGATGGTGGTTCGGGTACAATCGGGATGAACATCGCCGTGGGTGGCTATTCCTCGGGCTCGCCCCGTAGCGCCGCCGACGCTGGCGAGATGAAGTACATGCCGGCACCGCAGCATCATCACCATCATCATCATCATCATCAGATGACGTCCTCGCCGTCACCGAACGGACTGTCCCATCCGGCGAGCCTCTCGTCGGCGAATCCCTGGGTGAGCCTGCAGCCCGGCAGTGATCCCTGGGCGGCCTCGATGGGCATGCACCATACCAGCCATCATCCCCATCATCATCCCCATCAGGCAAATGCGAGCCTCGATGTGAAGCCGTTGACCGCGGCTGCGGCGACCACGACGGACCAGGGTATGCACCATCGGGGCCCGCACCAGTCCCCGGGCATGGCCTCGCCGCACTCCTGGCACGCACCGGTCGTCCCGTCGGCGCACTACAACCCGAGCGGTGGCGCGGCCTCGCCAACCACCCTCCAACAGTATCACGCAGCGATGAACGGCATGCTGCATCAGCATCCGCATCAGCATCCACATCAGCTGCACAACCATCAGACTGGTCTACCTCACCACTTGAGGGACGCGCACAATCACAGTCCACCGTCGGGGCATCCTCTGCACGCGGGCCATCCTCTCGACAGGGATCACAGCGCCGGCGAGGAGGACACACCAACGTCGGACGACCTTGAGGCCTTCGCCAAGCAGTTCAAGCAACGGCGCATCAAGCTCGGCTTCACCCAGGCGGACGTCGGTCTCGCGCTCGGTACTCTGTACGGCAACGTCTTCTCGCAGACGACAATATGCAGGTTCGAGGCTCTACAGCTGAGCTTCAAAAATATGTGCAAACTGAAGCCGCTGCTGCAGAAGTGGCTCGAGGAGGCGGACTCGACAACCGGCTCGCCGACGAGCATCGACAAGATCGCCGCCCAGGGTAGAAAGCGAAAGAAGAGGACGTCGATCGAGGTGTCGGTCAAGGGTGCGCTCGAGCAACATTTCCACAAGCAGCCAAAGCCGTCGGCCCAGGAGATCACCTCACTCGCGGACTCGTTGCAGCTCGAAAAGGAAGTGGTTAGGGTGTGGTTCTGCAATCGGCGGCAAAAGGAAAAGAGGATGACGCCGCCCAATACACTCGGCGACGGCATAATGGAGGGTATGCCGCCGGGCCACCAGGGCCAGGGCGGTCTCCATCAGGGTTATCATCCGCAGGATCACCTGCACGGCTCGCCCATGGGCCACAGCCACAGTCCACCGATGCTCAGCCCTCAGGCCCTCACGGCCCACTCGCTCGCGGCTCACTAGCGTTCGCCGGGGCCTCCCCCGTTGGGCCTCGCGGTAACCTCGCAGAACTCGGCGAACGTGTCGTCGACGGCAGAGACGACGACCCTGCCGCCATTCTATCATCACTACCTTCAGGCACGCACCGGCAGTTACACGACCTCGTAGCTGACCGACTCGCGGCGCCCTTTCTATCTATCAGACGGCGGCGCTCGTTACCGAGACGAGGGTACGGAATGGTGGCTCGTTCGACGAGATTCAACGGGGTTTAACGAGGCCGAGACCGGTCCACCGGGGAGGCTGAGAAGCTGACGCGCACGGTCGGTGATTTTTTGTCGACCTTGACCGCGCACCTAGACCCGGAGAGAGGATGAAAGCTGCGAACGGAACAGACGGAATAAGAAAAATTCGGAGTAAGGGGCGCGCGTTGCCGTGACTGCGCGCCCGTCGGCGAACATCGTGACTGTTCTTCGCCCAACTTCTTCAAGATACCTTCGTCGCCGGAGAAGGTATCCATCCTCATCGTCATCGCCATCGTCATCTTGCCGTTGTTCACGCGGCTCCAGCTATGTTTCCTCCATCGACGATGTTCCGGTGACAAGTGAAACGTCTTCATCGTGTTTTTCGCGACGCGACGCAAGAGGAGACCCAGTGGCGTTCTCTCGAAGGGTACCATTGACGGACGTAGTGATAACGTTCCTCCTTCGCGCGGTCAAGTTGGCGCCCGTTCGTCCGTTCGTCGAGTCCGAACTGGATCGCGGACCTTGTTGGCTGTTTGCTGTTGTTATTGTTGTTGTTTCATCGTCGCCGGTGAGCGGAAGTGGTTAACTCGGCGGTCTCCGACGGGGACTCGAGAAAGGATGGTTCGATAACACAAGGTGCGTGGACGCGAGTTGGACTCGGGCGAGGGTGCGGTTTAAAAGAACGGAGAGGTGTTCGCTCTCCCTCTCTCTTTCTCTCTCTCTCGCCCGCAGACAAAGCGGGAATATATCGGACACGAAACACGGATCGCAAGGGTGTCTTTTCGGGCGCGTGCGATTCTCCCTTTATCTCCCGCGGGGTCCAAAATTCGCGACGGACGAACGGGCGTCAAGAAAAAAAAAACATACGTAAGGAGCGAGTGCTGTGTTCGCGCGGGATTTGCTCGGAGCAAACCCGGCGGATGATGTAACATAAGTAAATATGGACTGTAAATAATGTACTAGATAAAGCTAGTAAGTTAAGTGAGAGAGAGCATGAGAATCGTCATCGTCGTCGTCGTCGACAACGAGCGGGAAAAAGCAGACGCGGGAGCTGGAATACACGGAGGAAGGAGATATAAAGAGAAATGAGAGGAGGGAGAGATACAAGGAATATGCAGCGCGACAGAAAAGGAAATAAGAGGGACAGATTTATATATATATACATATATATATAAAGAGACAAGGTGCACATCGAAGAGAGACCGCGTATTGGAAAAGCGCGTGCGAAATCCTAGCGAGACAGCAAGACAGTTCCCCCCTCACGCGAAAAACCCCTTCTGTATAAAGAGTAAGTATCCATAAATATATATGTGTATATACACACATGTCTATATAGACGAATATATATTAACTAAAAAACGGATATATATATATATGTACATGAAAACACGGAATATGGCGTTACATCCGAAAGCTCTATGTCTATGTATAGATCGGAAAGTTCTAGCTATGTCTTATCATTATTGTATTATTATTATGTTTATTATTATATTGCTATTATTATATATATTATCATTATTATTATATTATTGTGACGTTCATTGTCTGGTCTTGAGAAAACGTTGTGATTGTGGCACAAATCCGGCGTTCACGCGATGAATTTTATTATTATCGCTATTATAATTATTCGCCACTATTATTATTGTCACTTATTATTATTCCTTATTATTGCGATTATTATAATTTTAATTATTATTATTGTCATCGTCAATATTAATATCATCGATATCTGTACTGCCCGGGAGTCGAGCGCGGAGCCGAGAATGTCGCGTCTTCCATCGCTGCCGGGCATAGTATCGAAGAACTCGTCCTCTCTCGCTCTCTCGATCTGTCTCCCTTTGTCTCTCTGCTTCTCATCTCGTTCGTCTCTTCTCCCGTTGTACGTTTCTTTTTTTTCAAAGAGGCTTAGGCAGATGCGAAGCTGACGTACACGGTTCGTACAGTACTATTTACTGAAAGTGTCTTACGTTACGAAGTCTAGTGTTAGACAACGATAAACTGTGTGATTTACGTGGAAGTTATTAATTATCCGATCAGTTTATGGTACGGTAATTGTATTGTAACGAAAAATATGTGGGGGACGTACAATCTCATATTTCTCTTCCGTTATTAGATTCTTTAAACACCAGTGTGACGAAAAGCAGAAGCAATTCCAATAGAATATTCATACGAACCGTGGAGAAAATCCATATTTCTCGCGTAGCGACGATTTCGTTAGATTATTATGTATGTAGAATTTTAGATTATTTTACATAGACCGGCTGCGCTTCTACCAAATTCTCTTTGCCGTTTGTTTGCCGATCGTCTCTACGCGAATCGTCTCGCTAAGTTTCGGTTTCTTTTTCCCGCTGTTGCGCGCATAACCAATTCGCACTTGTCGCACGTGATATAAAATACACAGAGGCGCATACTTGGTCAAAGGTGACGAAGCTGTCATTCTTGCCGTCGGTAAACTTAAGTTTGTCCCGTGGCCTCTAAACTTGAAATAAATGGAAAATAATGAGAATAGGCGCTCGAGAATTTTCTTTGACGTACCTTTTGTTATAATTTCGTGTAATATAATCACACTTTTTACAATATCGTACTTCATTATTAAGAATTGTGTTCAATGTTTGTTCTCTGGAGACGATTCTCGAGACTTCTTTTCTGTTTTCCATTTAATTTATACAGTAAAACATTATTTAATCGAGTTAATCCTCGATAATGTTTTATTCCATAAAAGATCAGTTTTGCACCGGCAGATTTTCTCGTAAGAAATAAACGTGATTTTATACGCTTTATGAAATTCAAATTGCGAAATTGAGATGCGATCGATCGATCGTATCTTCTGTTTTTGCTTTCGCACTTCGTCAAGATTTCACTTTTTACTTTTTCAAACGTTTTTTCAAAGACATTTGGCGCGTAGCTAGTCACGTGTCTCAATGTTACGTACATCTCCGTGGTTTCTTTTGCGACCCGCTCTTACGCTCTCCGATAATCGCGTTGATCGCTGTAATCCAGCGATATCGATGTTTCCAATACGCTCAACAATATTTCCTGTATAATTCTCACATTATAAATTATTAATTCTGAAGATCGCGCTTTAAATCTGCGTACGGAAACATCCGCCGCGCGATGCATTCTGCAAGAAGAAGGTCCCCTTTCTTTGCCATCGTCTGTCGCGAGTATCCTCGATCGAGTCTCTCGGTCTCTCGGTGTCGCTTTGTTCCGCCGTTTATATATATATATATATAGTTTTTTTTATCTATTGAACCCTCGATCGACACGCCGCCTTTTTGCGGCTCTTCCTTGGCCTCGTGAAACGCGTAGGTGGTCGCGAACTCCATAGCGCCGACGCACACCTCCTCTCTAGCGATTTATTTTCCACCTCAATCGGTGTGTAGTACTTGGTTGATCGCGCCGGTGTATCGAGTGCCCACGCGAAACGCGGCGTCATCTCCTTTTCTTTTTCATCGCGGTAGGCTCGTTACGCAGTGTGTCGCGCGGATTTATTTGTCTGGCGTCATCGGGCTGCTGCCATTACTAGCGCGTCCGCGGGTGCTGTTTTCCGCGGCTGTTTGTACGGCATCCAATCAACTTCAACGCGTTAACGAGAAATCCCGGATAAGATTTGGTGTCTCTCGCGCGGAAGCTGACAGCCGATACAACGATGAAATCGTTTTCCGGACCGGGTCTTGTACTACTTTTTCATAATCTTTTTGTGATTCCACTGTTGCGCAGTCTTTGATACCCGTAACGATGCAATATTAAGTTTAGAAAATTATTATCAATTACAAGATTTATATTACTATGCATATTCTTTGAGCGTGTAGTTAGTGTTCCACGGTTAAAATGATAGTGTAGATACTACGGACAAGTCAGGTCGTCGCAATAAGTACTTGGCGGTTGCGTTCTTATTTGATTAAGGTGGTTCAACGTACCCGTTCGTCATCGTCTATTAATGCCCAAACTATTGTGTTGACATTACGCGTATTTACCGAAATACCGACGATAATTTATACACTTCCGCGGAGTCGTACTTGCGTCTGGCAGCCGGGGCCGCATAACGATGCATTAGGTGTGTATAAACTGCCCGGCGCGTTAATAGCACCTATAGTATCTACTTGCCGGACTAAAAGAGTCGTTTAGGGGCGCAAACGTGCGCCGGGGCCGCGGCTTGTAATTCACGGCCCAATTTGGGAAGAGAGAGATTTTTATGGGGACGCGATCGTTCCGTGGAGAACGCGTCACGGGGCTTTAATAAGGAGGGCCCAGCGTACCGGGGGACTTTACGAACGGGCCGGCGTTACACCGGCCGCCACCGCACGACCCGCTAATCATCGTAATTTTTGATCGTTATAATGCGCTTAACGCATCGCGGGCCATTCATTTCTGTAATACTTCGACGTTTCGGTAATGGCGCGGCACCTGGGCCCGACCTCCCCAGCTTAGGCTCCGCTTAGGAGCGCTGTTTTAACCATTGCGCGTCTACGACGTGATACCGGACCTCCGACGTTTATCAATTGAATCTAGTCCTCAGCACCATTATTTATAGAAAACTTCTGCGTTTTACTACGATATACAGGAATCGTGAAATGTTGCGCCACGTCCCGCGCAAATTTATTTGCGAAATTGGCGAGAGCTAATAGTAATATCTGGTAACGGGGAATTTCAGAAAAACATGGTCGAGTTTCTTTAATCCCGCGAGTCGCACTCTTATTCGTTTGCGCGCTGGTGATCTGTATTTTCGCTGCAGCACGACCTTGACAATTTAGCTCATTCATTACGATCGATCGTAGCATGCGTTTCCCTTTATGGATTAACATTTCCTAACAAATCAGTTAACGTGTATCCGCCCTTCGTACTATCGTGCGAACGCTTTAAGGTCTTATCTATGACTATCATAGTGGATCGGTAGAGGCATATTTGCTTACGAGACGGGCTTGGGAATTTTATGAGATCCGATATTGGGCCGTTCATCCTCCCGGATGGAGTCCTTCCCGCATTAGCGACGCTCGTTAGCCTCCTCGTTCATTGGAATACGGACGTTCTTCTTTGACGTAATCACCGCGCCGTCGTCGAGGACGAGTCAAATCCTTGTTAGGTCCATTTACCAATGCCGACGTAATAGAAACGTATCCATTCCCGCAGGTTCGCTCTAAGAAATTTCAAGCATTATGACGTCGTTAAGCTCACGCTAATGTCCTCCGTCAGCATCGTGTGTTTTACATGATCTTTCTGTTCTCCGCACAACCTCTTTTATCTACATGATTATTGTTTCGTGAACTGATAATCAATTCGGGAAATTACCACCTGTAACATCTAAAGAAATATAAATCTGATGCAGCGTCGCTCGTCAACTGGGAATCGACTTCTTACTCTCCACTAATAAGATTGTGATTCACAGTACAAACATCTGTTCTCTCGCGAACAGCAGAATTTGAATAAATTCACCGCGTGGCGGTACCGAGTTCCACCAGTTTTGTCTTGCGAAAGTTTTAGGTCTAGGGAGAATTAAATTCGGGTCGAATCTCGGAAATTTTTTAAGCATGTCGTACGAAAATACTTGTAAATGTGATGTTAATAATAGATCTTTTCTTTATTAGAACGAGAAGTTCATCTTTTATATTTAGTAACACATTGCTCTGCTCACAGTAGCAGCTCTGCTCATGTACTACATACGATAATGATAACTGCAATTACGTGGACTATTATCAGTCATACATATAACTTCTGTGATTATTTGCTCAATTGGCTGCTGATGCTTGTCGCCGTACTCTTCTCACATTTCCTCGATTAGCGCGATATATTCGATATGTCAAACACATCTTCGACTTCGTCGGGTTTATTAGCACTTTGCGAGGATCGAGCTTGCCCGAAGGCAGTTAGCCGACAGGGAATTTCACTTTTTATATTGATATCACCGATCACAAATTCGACAATATTCTCATACGTATTATCGCTCAAACTCGACATTATTGAAGCGGTATTAGTGAAAACATTGATATCTCTGCTAGTACCTGTTTCTAACTTCGACGAAAAGTGTAATCTCGATAATTTTGATGAGGTTAATAAATGATGTTGCGGAATTCAATCAAGAAATGCCGCAAATTGATCCGCAACAGCGTAAAAAGCACGTTTATGAATGCCGTAGATGCGATTGACACGCGACGCTCATTATTAAAATGATTCAAAAGATTTCACTTGCGCCATTTGCATATACATATGTATATTTTTTCATACGCTGTTCCGCATAATTCAATTGACGCTCGTGAATTATAAATTCCGCGCTGTGGAGATTGCACTGCA